CGCCGCGTCTTTGCCCTCCTTCTTGTCTTCAGGCTTCTCCGCCGCCGAAGCCGCCTCGGAGGCTTCGTGGCCGCCGCCTGAGCATTCGGGCCCCGGCGGATCGCTCTTGCCTTCCGCCTTGCTGGCGTCCTGCTGCGCGGCGGCGGCGGCGGCGGACTTGAGCTCGTCGTTCTGGTGTTGCTGGTGGTGGAGATGGTGATGGTGGTGGTTCTGCACGTGATGGTGGTGGTGGTGGTGGTGGTTGTTGTTGTTGTTGTTGTTGTTGCCGCCGCTGCCGCTGCCGTGCAGGTGGTGCTGGCCGTGGCTGTGGTTGTCGCTCTGCACGGCCTCCGGCACCAGGCTGTGGATGGTGAAGGACGACTTGGGGATCATTTTGAGCTCTTTGCGCTCGCCCATGTCCAACATCACCGAACGGCGTCGGAAGTGTGCCGCCGAGCCGATCGACAGGACGGGAAAGGGAGGAAGGAGGCAAGGAAAGGGGGGGACGGCTGGAGGAGAGGGAAAGTGTAGCCCAACAAACTATTTCATGTTCGCTTTGGGGAGAAAAAAGGCAAACACACACTCAAACACGCACGCACGCATACAGACGTCCGTACGCGCACGGGACGTACGCGCGCGCGCACGCACACAAGGATAGGAGACAGATAGCAGCAATTAATTAGCGAGCCGCTGCGGCACGACGCATTGGTCGGCCCTTCGCGCCCGTCGGCCAATCAGCGCCGCGTGAACTCCGGCGCGCAGCCAATCGCCTCGCGCTGGTAAGGTGTCGCGCACGCGCACGCTGAAAGAAGTTGCCGCCCAGCGCGAGCACGACGGGGCCAAGTGTTTGCCAGGCTTTCGCTGCCGTTCGCGACGCGTCTCGTTCACCCGGAAGAAATGGGGCTGTGTCTGTTGCGGGCCTGGTGGGGGGGGGCTTGATTACGGGGAAGCAACGCTGCGGGGGCCGTGACGTAACCGTGGACACCCGCTTTACTTTGTCATTTCTTACAGTGGGGGAAACAAAAGGACTCGTTCCACAACACATGCTGACGTAGGCTTAGCGCGCATGCGCAACTTTCCAAAAGTTGGTATACCCCCCCCCCCAAAAAAAACAACCTCAAGTGCCAAAGTAAAAATTAAATTTTGCCATCAACGGAAAGAATAAGTACAGATGCGACTTCTTTGTAAAAATAAGAAGCTCCTAACTTTTGGACTTGGGTACTAAAGTAAAAAGTCAAAATTAATAGTTATTGTGTGTGTGTGTGTGTGTGGGGGGGGGGGTATAGATTCAACTCCTTGACTGAAAATAAAGTCAAAAGATACAAACTGAAATGCAAAAGTACAACAAATGAATTCACGTCAACGGAAAACAGTCGTACCGATTCAATCCCTTTTGCAAACTGTACATTTGAATCGAGTACAAAATTAAAAATGATGATTTTTCTGACTGTCCAGGATTAGTCCAACTGCAGGGGTTGAAAAACGTAGAAACGAGCCAATTTTTATTCTCGACTACAAAGCATAGAGAGCTATTAGAAATCTGTTTTCAAACGTAGCGAGTAAAAGTCAAAAGTCTCCCGAAAAAAGAAATCCTCGAGCGGAGGACAGATACGACAAAAGCGTACGGCAAGCGAAACGACAAGTCGGAACGTGAACTGCAATCCAACAAATATTCAAAGAGTTGAATATTTGTTGGATTGCGATGACCACTTCCTGCTTCCTGTTTGTCAGCTTCCTGTTCCGCTCCGCTCCTTCCACCGTCAACGTTCCCCCGCCGACTCGGAATGCCGCGATAACACACACATTTTTGTCTTTTTTTTGGGGGGTGGGGGGGAACACACCGCCGATGACTGGATGACGACAAAGGTGAAAGTTTCCTGAAGATGACCTTTGACCCGCAGCAGGATGTTCCTCATTAAGTGAGGAGCCGGCTGTCAATCAGCCAACGCCGTCAAGTGTTGGAAGAACATTTCAAGCAACTTAACAAGGCTTCCAAAAAGACCCGCGTCGTGGTTCAGTGAAGGACATCATCCAGTCTTTGGGTCAAGTCTCTGGATTAGGTCTTTGTGTTCGGTTTTCTGCTCAAGTCTTCGCAAGTCTTTGTATTCTCTCGTCTTACGTCCAAACGCCAAGTCTTCATTGAAGTCTCCGTGAAATCTTTGCGCGATGCGTTCACGTTCAGAGGCGGTGCCGCTCCACGCCGGCCGTCCCTGACGATTTGGTGACCCGAAGGTGAGCGCGTGCACCTGAGATTTGGCTGGCTTTGATCGAGGTGAGCTGCGGGCAGATTCTGAGCTCCGCCGGCACGTGGGGTGGACGTCGTCACATTTCATTCCTAAATATGACCACGGCGTGACTCGAACCGCGCGAAGTCGATTTATGGAGCTCATTCCGATTTCTTGTAGAATTCTTCGAACAGGTCACTGGTGGGCGAGATTCATGCCCGCGATGGAGCGAAGGCCTCTTCCTGACTGCTCCCGTCTCCAAAAACGCCACCGGTGCGCAACTGCGCTGCGCACGGAACCGGCTCCCTTCGTGGGAAATCTGTGTGCGGCATTCAAGTTTGACTTTGGTGTGGATGTTTTTTTTTTTTAAGGCTCCACAAACGTGACGTTTTGAAAGCAAGTCTCGGTGTGAAGTCTGCTCCAGCGGTTCCTTCCCGTTTTGCTTTTTTTTTTTCCCAACCGGGGTGTCCTCTGCAGTGAGACAACAGCGCTCCCCAGCGGCCTAAAGAACAACTTCACAATGTCTGCTCATCGCCATTTTAAAATCCAAACATGAACGTCAAATGTTCCTCCACATATGTAAACGAACAGGCAGACGTGACTTTTTCAATCAAGATTTTCACCACCGTGATCATCTGAAGTTTAAATAATCATGTTTCTGTCATTAAGAAAAAAAAAACAATTCTATTTTTCTCTCTCATATATATATATATATATATAATTTTTTTTCCCAGCGGTTGGAATGTACTCGTTGCTTTTGTGGCTTTTAGTAGCTAAAAATGGCTTTTAAATATCTCAATGCAAGTGTGTTTGCGTTTTTTTTTTAATGGTGATTCGGGAGCTTTTGCAAAGGAAGACACTGACATCTCGTGGCCAAAAGGCGAACTACACCCCCAAGTGGAATGGCACGCGAGGTTCGTTGGTTGCAATAAGTGATGCAAAAAAAAATTGGTGGGATACGAGAAACAATGACGTCATCAAACACATGACAGAGATATCGATTGACAGTCGGGATCGGCTCCGGCACGGACGAGAAAGATGGATGGATGCGTGCGCGCACACGCGGCGTCAGGTGCGATTGGGCAGGGACAGGAAGTCACCTCGCTTCTCAGGAAGTTGACGGCGACGGCATTGTTCTCCAGGAAGCTAACACTTGGGCGGTGTCCGGTGTCTTCCGGCCGACGGCTCAGAAGCCCTGAGCACGTGCACATGAATGACGTTGACGGTAATATTAGCCGAGGCTAGCCAGGAAGCTAACAGCCGCACTTAAGCATGTCAAGCACGAGTTTGGCATGTTTTGACGTTTCCTCTCAAGATGAATTGTGGAAGGTTTCCGGAAGAGGCCGACGGGAAGTGGAGCCGAGGCGCTCAGAGGTCGCCCGCGCTTCCCGCCAGTCTTCCGCAACCTCCCGTTGGCACGCGGGCGTGTGCTCAAAAGTGTCCTCGAGACTTTTGTGTTGACATTTGGGAATGATTTGATGATATCGTCGGCTTCCACGTCCGCCATTCGGATTGTGCGCCGCTCTCGTGCGGAAGCGAACGCTCGCAGAGGGCAAACGGGATCGCGTACGGCTTATGAGCTGTTGGGACTTTTTCGCACCGCTGGTTTCACTTCCAAATAAAGCTCCAGTTTCGGTCGCTGGACTTCGAGCTGTCAGCTTTGCTCGCACGTTGAATCCGACCGCGGGCTTCCCGTGTGGAATTTGCACGTGACACTTCGTGGAGTCAGGCGGCTCTTCGGCTTCCCCCGCAGACATTGGGACTTGAGGTCGCGGCTATCGGACGCGGTGAACGTTGTGGACCTCAAAGCATTTCGGAGGCCGTTCTTGGGTCGATCCGGACCGCTTTTCAAATGTTGCGGCACTTGTTTTTTTTTGTTTTTTTTTTAGGCAGACAGCAAAATTCAGGTTTGCAAACCACCGTAATGCCGAACGGACGGCGGCGGCGCCTCGCTGCGGATTTGAGATCGAAAATTGAGCCGAGGCAGCCGAGGGCTCTTTTATTAGGAGGGAAGGTAACGCCAACGCCTTGTACGGCGTTTGAGCACTGCATCGTTCAAAGGTCGCGATTGTAGCGCTCGATGAAACCAGCTGGCCGGCATCACTTTGAGGTTGACTCGCAAACTTGAAAAACGAAAAAAAAAAAACAAAAACCACCCCAAAACCAGCATGGTCTTGAGTTTTGGTGCCGGTCTTGCCGGCGTCACCGGCGACTAGCGCGGCAACAGTCGCGTGCGGCTGGCTTCGCGGTCACCGGCACAGCAAGACCCGCCAATAAGCCGTGCCCCCGGGGACAAGCCGTGGCGTCCGGGTGGGCAGTGGGCTGGAGTGACCAGTTGGTGGCAGCGGTGAGCGGCGGAGCAACGACCGCGCGTTGTGGTCTTGCTACTCGGTTGGGAGCGACCGAAGCTTTGGCAGTTTTCAAACTTGGCTTGCCTTTGTTGCTGGTCGACCAGAAAAACGTCCAAAAAAAAAAAAAAGACAGAAACCAAGTCATGTTTTTTTTTTTTTAAAGCAGGGCAAGAAATGGGGCTCAGTTTCAAAACGGTTTCTGGCCTGAATGTGAGCAATTGCCATGCTCCGAAAGAGCTTTTGAATGTCATGCAGGCATGTCCAGCTCCAGAGCTGTTTGCCCCCCCCCCCCAAAAAAAAAAACCCCACCAGAGCGAATTTTGAAGGCAGTCCTAAACTTTCAGGCCACGGGCAAATGCCGCAGCCTTTCGTTGTGGGTCGCGTGGCAAAGAAAAGCATGCAGGATACGTTCTAGTCCTCGGCGCGGTCGTACGCGGCCTCGGCGTCGGGGTGCTTGCGGTGGGCGGGCGGCACCAGGTGGCGGGGCAGCTCGGCCGGCAGCTCGTAGCCCTCCAGTTTGACCTTGATGAGGTGCTGGGCCAACGCAAACTCTTGGTCGTCCAGGCTGCCGTCCTGGTCGCAGTCGGCCAGCTTCCAGATCTTGCCCAGCACGGTGTTGGGCAGCCGCGAGTTCATCATCTCCTTCTTGGCGTTGACGCCGCTGATCTTGCCGTTGACGGGCATGAGCGTGTAGAAGATCTCGTCGTAGCGGTGCTTGTCCCGGCTCACGATCCAGTCGTCGCCGGCGTCGGCGCCGGCGCTGATGCCCTCGCCGTAGCCGCGGCCGAAGGGGCCGTCCTGGGAGCCCTCGAAGGCGCCGCCCGACACCATGGCCGGCGGCGCCTTGGACTCCTCCTCGCGGATCATCGTCATCAGCCCGGCGATCTTGGACGCCAGCATCTTGTCCACCGACTCGATCAGCTTCATCTTCAGCGACGGGAACTTGCCGAAGTCGTAGTGCTGCAGCATGTCCTGCGAGAGGAGACGGGCGGCCGCGCGCGGCCCGGGAATCGCTTGTGATCACAGAAACGGCAATTACGGACCGCGGGTGTCAAACCGCCGGCCCGGGGGCCGAGTCGGGAAAATCATTCGACGCCTTCAGGCCCGTGATTCTTCACGTCACAACTTCAAAGCGGCTGGCGTTATCAATCGTCGCGCGGAGAGATCGCAAGGGCTCGCGGCTTCCGTGGTCAGGCACGTACCTGCATCTTGGTGACGTTGGGAAAGTCTCCGGGGCTGATGTGGTGCTCCCTCTGCAGGATCGCGTAGATCTCCGGCAGCCTCAGGATCAGCTCCTCCTTCTTCTTCTCGCGCCCGAACAGCGACGGCATCTCCTTCTTCAGGTAGCTGATGATGTACGCGTGCACCTGCGGAGAACACGCCGCTCGCTCAGAGGTCATCTCCCGACCGGGGAGGAGGCGGCGACGGGCCGGCGCCGGCCCGAGATGGAGCGGAGGCGGCGACGTCCTCCCGGCCGGCGCTTCTTGGCAGGGAGGAAGGAAGCGCGCCGTGCGCGGCGCCGCAAATAGAAAAGGGCGGCGGCCAACTCGCGGCGGCCGAAGAGACGAAGAGCAGGAACCCGCTGATGACCCGTCGGCAGTCGGGCCGCATAGCGTGCATTCCGTGAGCATTTCCAAGGGCGGGCGCTTCATTCCACAGGTGGGGGCAGGGGTGGGGGGGGGCGGGGGCACGACTCAGACTTCAAGACCCCGCCAGCTCCACATTTATTTCCAAATACATGAGACAGACTGAGAACTGTGTCGGAGTCAACTGGAGCCACGATAGCGTGACGCAGTTTGGTTTTCTGCATCCTTGGCTGTGGACTTCGATGCCCCCGAAATTTCAGATCGTGCGGCCGCTTTAGAGTGCCTCGTTATCTGCCCGAGTGTGTAAAGCTAGCACAGGAAGGTATAAGGGTTGTTTTTTTTTCTCCTGAACAAAGTTCGATTTGTCAGCTGACGTGCGGCCGCTTTAGAGTGCCTCGTCGTCGCACATGAGTGCATGCATACGACAGAGGCGAAAATACAAGGAGTGCAACGCAACGTTGTATTGCTTTATTTTAAGATGACTCGACAGCCCGAGTGTGGCTTGGGGTGGCAGCATTAGAGTGCCTCATTGTGGCACACCACAGAGCGAAGGCGGAAGAGCGAGGGGTGGGCACAAGAAACACGTTAGATGAAGTCAAATTAGTTTTTCCCGGGTTATTTGATTGGCAGTTGACAGACCGCAATGCTCGCTTTTTTTTGGGGGGGGGGGGGGCACAGGGGGCTGTCGTCGTCACTCTCATCTCAGACTTACGGATTTCAGCTCCCACCTCTGATTAATTCCCAGCCTAGGAGGCCACTTGCCGTCTCACCTTGGCCAGCCGAGCCCTCTTGATGAGATCGTTGAGTTTCCGGAGCGCCGCGTTCCTCGGGAGACTCTGGATGTCTTTGAAGAGGTCCTGGGACTCGGCCTCAAAGAGACGTCTGAGGGCGAGACGGAGACGGCGTGAAGCGGCGCCGCCGCGGCGGACGCGGCGGACGGGGACCAACCTGTTCTCCGTGTTCTGGAGGGGCTTGGCCCAAAAGGAACCCAGGTAGACCCGCACCACCTCCGGGGTGTTGATCACTTTGCCCAGCGACCACATGAGGGCGCCGTACACGCGCATCAGCTGCTGCGTGTCCACCTGCCAAAGGACGGCGCCCGGTGAGGGAGGGCGGGAGAAAGCGGCCATGGGGGGGCGGGAAGGGGGGGGCGCTGACCTGGTCGGCCTTGTTGAGGACCACCCTGATCTTGTCGTCTTGTCCTTTGAGGGCTCGGATGGCCTCGGAGAACTCGTCCGAGATGTCCAGTTTGTGGGCGTCGAAGAGCAGGATGATCCTGTCCACCCGCTCGCCGAACCAGCGCAGAACCTCGGCAAAGTCGTAACCTGCGCGCAAAGGACGCCCGAGCGTTTGCGCCGACGTACTTCCCGACGCCCGAACGTCAATTTTGGACCACGGCTTCCCGCGGGCGCCGACGTTGCGCGTTCAGGGTGTCGCGTTCCCGCGGTCGGCGCAAACGAGTTGACCGTGGCGGGCGTTGCTCAAGTGTCTCTTCATCAATAAATCAAGGCCACGCGACAAAAGACGAGGCCCCCTGGTGTCGGTTTCCTTCTGCGGCTCCAAGTCACGCGTGCGCGCGTGCGTGTGTGTGTGTGTGTGTGTGTGTGTGTGTGTGTGTGTGTGTGTGTCTATGACAGGATGACCGGCTGGTGACTTCGCAGGTTCCATTTCCCCTTTGACGGGAAATGCCTTGGCTCCAACAATCTTGCTTCCTCTTTCCAGGGTTGCGAAAGCAAATCACGTGGCGACGCTCGACTGTGTGTTGATTCAAAAGTAAAAAAAAAAAAAAAAAAAAAGAGCCTGCGGCCGGCGGTGTGGCGTCCCGAGACGCGGGGGTCAAATGTCAAGGACCGCTTTCAACTTGTGAGGTCATCGCTCTCGCGACGGACGGCGAGGTCGGGCGGCTGGGCTCGGGTCACGTGACTCCATTTTGGGACTTTTTGGGATTCGTCACGGGCTCAAAACGTTTCCATGTGGCGGAAGCCACCCCCCCTCCTCCTCCCCCCAACCCCACCATGACTCCACCCGCCCTGCGGAGGCCTCTCACTGGTGATGTCATCCAGGCCAGAGAGCAGCGCGCTTGGACCGCACAGCCCCTTTTCAGGCGTTGCTTCAATGTTGCCGCGCTGAACGAAAGGTAGCGAGCGGACGAAATGGACCGATATCGGAGGCGAGGGGGCGTCTGCGTGTCGGGGGTGGGGGTCGTCGCAGTACAACAAGTGCCCCCCCGGCCGCTGGCCCTGATGCCGTCAGCCGGCCCCCTTTTCGAGGCATCGAGTTGAGTTGCGACCGTCGGTCAGCGCGTGTGACGGAAGAGCGAAGGACTGCACGCACCTCTGCTGATGCGCTGCTTCTCCCCGGACAGGATGCCCGGCGTGTCGATGATGCTGATGCTCTGAAGAACCTGATTGGGCATCTGAGAGCAAATGAACCTGAAGGCACAAGCACAGCAAGGGCAAGTCTCTGAGTGTCACTTTTATGATGTTGCCGCTCCACGGCGTCGTCTTTTTGAGCAAACGTTTGATTTTCCCAACAAAAATCCGGCAAAGAATTCACCCAAATTAACTCTTGGGGGGGGGGGGGTCAAAGTTGAACATGGACACCAACACGATTCTGAAGGCGTCCAGTCTGCTACACTTGGCCGGTTCATGTCTCATGGCGTTGTGGGAGGGTGGCGGGGGGGCACGGACCTTGAAAGGCAAAATGTTGCCAACTCCGATTCACAATCACATGTTGACCATAAATCCCGCGGCGGGCTGACAGGCGGGAAAAAACAAGACGGCTTTGCTGCCGGGTGTGACGCACAATCACTTCCCCCTGGAAACAATACCTACAATGGCTCATTGAGGGGGAGGGCGGGGGGGGGGGGCTCGATGGCACAAGACGGCCGAAGGAATTTTCATTTGGAGTAAAAAGTCAAATATTGATGTCAAAATCTTGAAGAAAACAAACACCAACATTGAACTTGGTTTCAAAGCCTTTAAGCCTGTTTCAATAGGCATCTTCGTTTTTAAATTGTCCCCCCGCCCCGCCCCCAAACCCCCAACCTCCACCCAGAGTGAATTTTGGTGTTGCACTTGTCTGCGGCGTTTACCTGTTGAGGAAAGAGTTTCCAAAGGCGTTGAGCTTCCTGAAGGGCTTCTTGGGGTCCACCACCAGCGCGTTGCCGGGGACCACCCCCTCGCTGTCGCCGTACATCACCGCGATGAAGCCGTCCGTGGTGGGCTCGGGTCCGATGCGCATGCCCGGAAAGTCCTGCTCCAGAAGGTACCTGCCGCCGCGGAAATCTTGTGTCAGTCGGACGTTCACTCAATACTCACATCTTCTTTATCTGCTGCCAAGAGCGAGTAGAACTTTGATGCGCTGAGACATCTCAACCGAGTGTTCATGCCCCGCCCACACACACCCCATTGCAATATGATTGGCTGTTGCACCCAGGCAAGACTGCCTACAACTCCAATGGGATTTCTAATCCTGCGCAATGAATTCAATTCCGATGTCAAGGCGCCGCCCTCCGCCATTTTGTGCCAGCGGCCAAAACGCGACCGGCAAACACGCTCACGTGAAAAAAAGCAATTCATTGAGCAGCGCTCTCGTCTGCGGGCGTCAAGCTTCGCCGCTCGGAGTGACGTCGACGTGCCGAGTCCCGTTCGCATGATTCATTTGGAAGCCTTCTGGTTCCCATGATTCAACGGCATTCCTCGGCACAGGGCGGGCCTCCGAAGCGGCGCGCAACTGCGGCTCGTATTTCTCTGCAGCTTGGATCTGCAAGTTGCGCGCTGCTCATATTTGAAAAAAAAAATTATAAAAATTCCCAAACACACTCGAGCACGCAGATGTGATCCCTTCGCTTCGTCGGCAAAAAAGACTCTTGACTTCCTGCGTCCCAGTCCAGCCACAAATTGTACTCGAGTAAGAGTACCGTTCCTTTAGAAGAATGCAAACTGAGTAAAAGTAAAAAGTACACTTGCAAATAATGTTTGGAGCACGCACAGAAGCATATATCGGGGGGGGGGGGGATGTGGTCTCGAACATCCTTCTTTCAGGCGCGATGAATATCCAAACTCATTTCCCATCCTTTGTTGTTGACATATTCATTGTTTGGGTGTTACCTCCTTATCGTTACTAACCGCGTAAAAGCGCAGATCAATTCCGGGTGAGGCGGACAGCACTCTGCCTCCCTTTGTACTTCCAAATGTCTCCATTGTGACACAAGCAAGGGGTTCTTATCTTATCTGTCCGAGTAGGATTTGCAATTGTTACGCCGAGATCAAAGTTGACTTTAACCGGCGTCTGCGTCGGTATGTGCCAAATTTATATCCGGGTCGCTATTTTTTTTATTTTTTTTTTTGTCCCTTGTTTGGTCTTGCGCTCAGGCTAATGCTAGCCTCAACTCCATGAGTAGCGTTCAGGGAGCAAAGGTCAAATCAGCGTCAAATGGTTTGCGTGAAAAGAAGGCCAAGATCTTTCTCACTGGGCCAGTTTTGAATGCCAGGATGCGATCGTTCGATCACCAATAATGTCACACTCGGCGTGACTGACGGATTTCTCAACCTGACTCTGATGTCAGCGCCTCGCCGGCCAGGAACCCTCGAGTCAAGTCCGCTCTCGAGGGCTGCGGTGTGGAGCCGCGTCCAGATTTTTTTGTCTCGTCGCATCCCCTCGGTGACAAATCCGTCCCGATCTGTAGCTAAATGTATTGTTTTTCCCAAAGTTCTCAGTAAATCAAGTTGAGCGGCCTTTGTCACCATCTTGTCTGGTGTCGCGGTATCGTCACGTCGAGCGCCGTCAGTCACAAGCGTTTGTGTTCAGTGCACACATGACATATGAAGCAAGCGCAGACGATGGAGGTGTCAACATCCTTAAGGGTATTAAAAAAAAAAAAAGGGGGGGGAACGCTCGGAGGTCATCGAGGTCCAAAGTGAGACCAATGTGTGAAAAGTTGACTTTGAAAAAAAAAACAAAAACGTGTTTTTACAGCTGCGAGATGGACTTTGACGAGGCGCCGCGGTCACGTGACTCCACCCCACAAACATGAAAGCGCGACCGCAAAAGCGTCCGATTGAGCCTCCGTTATTGGCGTCGCGTCGTCAATATGTTCGAATGTCGAATCGGACGTCGGGTCGAATTGGAAGACGGCGGGCGCGGGTTTGGTCAACACGCCGGCACCTCCCGTTCGCTTGCTTGCCACATCGCTTCCGAGTTGGCGAGCGCCGAGTTTCGCGGAAGTGCTCCGCCGAAGGGCCCCGCGCCATCCGAGTGAACTTCGGAGATTCCCTCAAAGCAAACGAGGGAGGCCTTTTTGGTTTTTTCTTTTGGGTCGTTTAAACGCGTGCGAGGCGAACGTTCGGACGCGGGCGTGTTGATCGGCGCTCCGTTCGCGGCCACGACGATTCGCTTCCCCGAGCGCGCTCGACGGGGCGCGCCTCGGTGGCCCCCCCACCTGATGAAGGTGGTCTTGCCGGTGGAGTACTGGCCCACCAGCAGCACCATGGGCTTGCTCTGGAAGTCGGCCGGCTCCAGGGCGGGCGAGTGGAAGTCGTGGAAGAGGTACGTCTCCTCGAGCGGCAGCAGCTTCTTGCTGTAGAGGCTCTGCAGCCCCTCGGTCACCGTTTGGTACATCTCGCCCTCCTTGTTGCGGCCGCCCTGCTCCTGCTTCACCCAACTGAACATCGCAAAGCGGCAGCAAAAAGCGGAAAAAAAAAAAAAAGGAGAAGCTCAGGCGCGACGGGGTACGAGTTCCCGGTTCCCTCCTCTTGTCGAGCTTTCCGCTGCCGGCTCGGAGGACGACTGCCTGGGCCACCTTTGGACGCGCGGAGGAGCCGCGGGCGTGCTCGCGCCAACAGTGCCGCCTCTGTGCGAGCGCTCTGCCCACCCGCCGACCTGCACGCGGGAGGGGCGAGTGGCCCCTCCCATCTCCGGCAAAAACAGAGGTGTAGATGCGTTCCGTGACGTTCACTTGCCCCCCCCCCCAACCCCATCAAACGAAAACATTGCATGTACGATGAGAGGTGGCGTCACGGAGGGAATGCATCACGTGGCACTTTGGACGACGTTCGGAATCGTTGCCCCCTTCAGGACGGGGCTGGGGGGGGGCTTTAAACGCATTTTCAGCCCGAGCAGAGCACGTTTTCTGAGTTTGAATATTTCTTCACGGGAATGAGATGT